GGCCCATTGGAAAGGGACACTCCTCTCAGCCCATTTCACTCCACCCTCTGTAGGGAGTCCAGGCAGCAGCTTTCAAACTCAGACCCTCAGAAAGGACACTCAGCCTCCTGGGCCATACCTCTAGAGCCACAGAGGGGTGAATCAAGAATTTGCATTTCTAAGTCGGGCCTGGTGGCTCACACAGTAATCCTAGCACACCCAGACTGAGGAAGGAGGATTGTCTGAAACCTAGACTATATTATGAAACGCTTGCCTAAAAAAAAAAAGAAAAGAAACCCTAACCAGGTTGGCCTCGAACTCACGGAGATCTCACAGCTCTATCACAGCTGTCTCTCCTACAACCTCCCTAACAAGGAACTCTTGAGGAGTCAAATGAGTCAGCACATGGTCTGCTCTGCACAGCAGAATTTATTGGCTATCAAATCGTGTGACATAACAAACAGCTAAGCCTGGATGTGGTGATGCACCCCTGGATTCCTAGCAGGGGATGGAGGCAAGGTGATGTCAAGCTCTAGGCTAGCCCAGGACATGCAGTAAGACGCTCCCTCATTAAACAGGGGTGTAGGGGTATGTGAGGTGAGTAGAATGCAAGGAGCGTCCGTAAGTCTGTCCAGGCTTTCACGTCGGTCATGTGACTTCGAGGACAGCATCTTGCCTCAGTTTCCCCGTCTGTACTAAGATGGTAAGGATTCTCACTTTCCCTTCCATGCGGACTGTCAGGAGCCCTAAGTAAGCTGTGAGACCGTGCTTTGCAAGTGGTAGCCACGGCTTAAACCCTGGCTCTTTGCGGTTAGATAGTGTGGAAAGAACGTGAATTTGAAGACAGAGGTGGCTTTCAGCCTGCTTTCCCCATCTCACTGGGGAGGCACAAAATGAGAAGAGGAGCAGGCTGATGCTTACTTAGGGAACTCCTCAGGGTCTATCCCCCGCGCTCACCTGCGGCTATTCCCAGGGTGACTGCAGACTCACACTGGGCCTCCTGCAGCTCCTTCCTGAGAATCCGCCCCAGGATGAGGGCCAGCCTGACACCTTGGCTCTGATGCTGACTGGCCCCTCTCGTGGGGGGTCCCAGGCAGAGCCCAGACCAGGCGGTCCCAGAGACTCCTTCCGTACGGCTCTCAGCCTTTGCCTCCTCCCAGGCTGCCTAAACCCTCAGCCTCTGGAAGCTGGGAACCCTGGAGCTGTGCCCTTGCCTGCCACTGAGGCTCCTCAGCAGGAGAGAAGCAAGTACCCCCTCCTTTCAGCGGGAGCCACAGCAGCCACAGGCCTGTTTAATTTAATGCACTGTGGCTTGCCAGGTTGCCCCTGGTAACAGCCTCAGCTGCTGCTCCCAAAGCAACCAGGATTTTTAAAGGGACAGGCTATTTTCCTGCTGGCATTGGACTGCAGAGGGAACATCCAGGAGCTTCTCCTGGCTGACAGCAACCCAGCAGCACTCCAAGTCTGCTGATCCCCGGCCGTAACCCAGAAGCCCGCCTTCGGCATCGCTCACAAGTGAGATTCGTCACTTGTCTCACTCAGATAGCTGCCGTTCTGAAAATCAGTTTAGTCTCCAAATTTGGAGGGTTGGGGAGAGAGAAGAGTATAGGCCTAGGAGCTGCTCCTGCAGTTCGGGGATAGTGTCATATGGCTTCCATTGTGAAATTCTTAATAAGCAGGTTCTGAATCCGAGGGTGTTGCCAGTGAGCAGAGTGGCAGGGGAAGTGTCTGCTCATAGACCTTGATGTTAACGCATTGTGGAGCTTTGGATAAATCACCCCACCTCTCAGGTCTCAGGGTCCTCGGATACATAACACGGCCTTGTGGGAAAGGCTGGGGGTTAGGACCGTGGAGGAATGAGCTTAACTCCCAGCTCTGCCATTCACTGACCACATGGGCCAATAAGACAATGTCTTTGGACCTGAGTGCCGATGGAAGGAGTGTCTACACACAGGAAGAGCCCTGCCCAAAGGCAGTGGGTCAGGTGTGTGTAGTGTACACACCTATAATGTAAGCTCGTGGAATCACACATTTGGAGATATCCTGGGCTACACAGCAAGTCCAGGACAGCCTAGGCTACATAATGAGATACCGTCTCAAACAAAAAAACAAAACAGAATGGATGGTACATCTAATACCGGGTGCTATGGAAACAAGACAGATGTCTGCAGCCCTAGAGACAGGAATAAGGTGCGGAGGGGTCTTCAGGGTCCAGGCTTTGAAGCCCTAGGGCCATTTGGGGCACTGAAGCAGATTACAGTCTACAGTAGACAAAGCAGCCCCCAGACCACACTAGGAGAGACAGACTCCTGTTTGCCCCTGGGTGTGCCCGTGAGGCACACAGCACTACCCTCCTCTGCAGATAAGGATGCAGCCCCCCTAGGCTCTCATCCCTAGGGCCGCCCAGTTGGGCCACTCAGGCCCCTGAGCCTCCCAGCCTCTGCTCTGCTCATTCCAACCAAGAAGTCACTCTGCCAGCTCTTGTATTGGCCCCTCCCATCCCTTATCAGAAACACGGAAGAAAGCGTGGGGCCTCTTCCCTTCGTGACTCGACTCCTGTTAGACAATCACAAAGCAGGCCTGTGACCAGACCAGAGGTCTGAGGTCACGCCAACAAGCAGCCAGGCAGCCAGAGGAACCACGGGTTACTCAAGCGCAAGTGTTTGACCAGGGTAGCCCATAAGAGGTGCCCCATAAATCTGAGCCCTCCCTCCCTTCCAAGCACCAGTGTAAGGGCAACAGACAGGTAATCTACCATCCTATCCCCACTTTGTGCTTTGGAAATGTTCCCCATTTCTCAAGGATGCCCCAGAACCCTTGGGGCCTGCGCCTCTATCCCCCACAGTACTTTTCACAGTCAAAGCCCTGGTGTACATAGCCCCCCCCTAGAAACGGTTTAACCCACTGAAGTGTCATGAGTGGCAAAGCACATGTGGGCGCGTGACATCCCCAGCTCTAGCCCCTGCTCTGGCTCCCCACCGCCTTACAGATGGGCTCCAAATTCTAAGCCTGGAACTTTGACCCTTCACAATGTTCCCCCTTGCTCCTCGACACTTTGGGTTAGGGATTCCAGCCCTGGTCACATGCAGACCCCATTTCTGCTCTCCTACCATCTCCGAACCTCTCTCTGCCCATGATGGCCAGGCCTCCGGGAATAGTATTTCTTGCTATATCCCTCTGGCGGTGCCCTCTCTCCTGGAGGACCCTGTTCTAGTGCCACTTCTTCAGAAAGCCTTGGGGGACCCTGGTCTGGGGAGGACATCTCCTCAGGACTCGCACAGCCCCTTCATCCCTTCCATTTGAATTGTGCCTTTACACCTGGCTTTGCTGCCAGGCCAAAGCCTTCCAGATGGGACCACCTTCCCTCTCCTGTCTTCACTGCCCAGCCTTGGACCACTCACCATTCACTGGCTCCGGCTCCCTCCTCCTCACTTCACAATGTTCTTTGCCTTCCAGGTTACATACATACATATGTATACACACACAAACACACACACAATGCACACACACACACGCGCACACACACACACACGCACACACACACACTTTACCCAAGATCCCATTCATTGGCTGTGGCTCCCTCCACCTCACGCGCACACACACAGTGTTCTTTGCCCTCCAGGTTACTCATTCCCTCATATCCCTGAGAAGCTGCTCAAGCCACCCCACCTCAACACACACACACCAGGTACTCTGGTCCCTGTCTCTCCCTCTGAAGTGCCACAACTTAGTCAAGACTCAGCTTGGAAATACATCCTCTAACTGGGCGGTAGTGATGCACACCTTTAATCCCAGCATTTGGATCTCTGAGCTCTGAGTTTGAAGCTACCCTGGTCTACAGAGAGAGTTCCAGGGTAGCCAGGGCTATCCTGGCTCAAAAAAAAAAAGAAAGAAAGAAAACCTCCTCTGGCTGGGGGTGGCGTCATCCTGCTGTAGATGGTCTGCCATCACTCTCAGGGCTTTAGTCAGACTTTGCCCCTCCTCCAGGGTTTGATAACGGTGACAGGAATCAGGAACATGGGCTATATAGCTAAACCAACACCAGTTCCCTAGAGCTTCCTTCTCCAGCCCTGCTATCCTGGGCAAGTCACTTCCCTCTCTGCACCTCAGTGTATTTACCTGTAGAGGAACTAATATCCAGGTCCTGGGTTTGCTGTGAGCTCAGGTAACGGGCATGAGAACCTTGGCACACACATCAGGCCTCTCCATACCCAGGTCTGTTTCCCTAGCCAGTTTATAAGCCTCGGAATGTCAGGGTTCAACCGTCACTGGAGGCCACATCCCCGCAGCACCTCAGAGGCTCTCAGGAAGGCTGGCTGAGGTTGAACGTTGCTGGAGGGGGAGGAGTGTAGGGAATGAGGTGAGTGAGAGCCCGAGCTGAGAAGGCAGGAGAGGTGGGCAGGGAGATGACTGTGGGGGAGGGGCAGAGGCAGAGCCGACATGCACTGGGGACTTTATTGGCTTTCATTAAAATTCCTTCCCAAGGCAGGAGGAGCTACTCCCGTAAATAGCAGCATAAATATTTTATCGGGTGCCCGAGTCAGTCTAAATGCACAGCAGGGTTGGCGAGAATAATAATGGGAAAATATTCAGGGAGGCCGGGTGAGCTGAGCTCGGTGGACTCACTTAACATCCCCAGAGAGGTGGAAGTGGGGAAGGTGCCAGAGGGAAGCGGGAGGGGAAGGAAGAAAGGAGAACACAGCTGAGCAGAGCTGGGGCTGGAGACCAGAGACTGGGTAGAGTTAGCTGGGGAAGGGGGAGAACAGGATCCATACCTGCTCATGAGGGCTGCTTCACTGGGGACTCAGGTGGCTCATCTCAAAAGCCCTTTGATCAGAGAAGGAAAGCAGTTTGCCTACAGCTGCCCAAACAGGCACCGACATCAAGGCTGTTGATGGCCGAAGGCCTCCCCACTGTACCTGTTGCCTCTTAGAGTTCAGGCTATAGCATGGGTGCTTGTAAGCACCAGCCTGAGTGTCTCCATAACCACCATATACAGCATGTCATTCTCTGCTTCCTAGATCCCAATAGAAGAGAAAAGGAGCTGGTACTTCACCATGGCAACGCTCTTCATCAGGTCAGGCCTGGGACTGGAGATGGGTTGGGGATGGTGGAAGAGGTGTGGCTTGTGGAGTAGAGGTGTGGGTGGGTGCCGTGGCAGCTCTCTGGGGTCGGCCACAGCCCTTTCATGTCCACAGGTTGGATGGCATCTTGCTAGAGATGGGCACTGAGGAGCAGAAAAGGCTGCCAGCCTTCAACCGCACCCTGGCCTTGCTCCGGCAAGTCCTCAAGTCCTCAGACTCCCGACACCAAGGTGGGAACTCCGGGTGGGGTTGAAGAGCCTCTGTCCTGCTGTCCTGCCCCTGTCAGTAGTTCTGTCTGACTCCATCCCTGTCTCTTTTCGCCTCACCCTGGCTCACCTCACAAGCCTGTGTTTACCCAAGGAAGCCCAGGCTCCTTAGCATAGCAGACTCAGGTGGGATGCCAAAACCTGTGGTCCGTAGAAAGGGCTTGGATCAGTGGTAAAACAATTTACCCACGTGGAAACAGGCAAAAAGAGTTTACTGAGGTATGCTTCAAGGAAGTAGCAGGGAAATCACTGCTTCTTCAGGGAAGAGAGAGTAGCCACTGAGAGGGAGTTTCTTTTATAGCTGTTGAAGGGGGGGGGTACTTGGCATTGTTTCCTGCGCCATTTGTGTGGAGAACCCTATCTGGGTGGAGAGGCTCCAGCCTGTGCCATCTTGTTTAGTAGGAACCTTGGCAGTAAGTTGTTTTCCTGGAGATTGGTCATTTGTCCAAGGAGCCGTGGGGTCAGGTTCCAAAGGTTGTGGCCAGGCTGTAAAAGCATAGGAATTTTGCTTTTATTTGGGGCCTTTTGTTTCCCTACTCAGAAACCTGAGGTAGCCCAGAGTTCTAAATAGTGTGTGTTCGATGGTAAGACCACCACCAGACACAAGCCCATAAGCGTACAATGACACAGACCCATGTCTTAGAATATACAGCATGTGTCTCCACCACCTTCTGCCCCCGTCTATGGTTAGGGAAGAAGGCTGTGTAGAAGACAGGTGAGTCACTTGTTCTAAAGGCCAAGCAGCAATCACAGGGACTGCACCCCCCAGGAAGCCAGAAGGGCTATGTCCCTGAAATGGCTTCTCCGGTGTGACATGTTTAGACACAGAGTAAGCCCCAGACATGGCCTGCCATGTTCTCAGGAATCCTATAACCTCCTCTGCCTTTCGTCTTCTCTGTCTCTGGCTCGCACTGTGGTCCTTTTCTTCATCTTTATGGGGACCACTGCCTACAGAGGAGGAGTTGGCCCCCGTCCCCGCTTACACTCACCCTGGCTCCACTGCTCCCTAGAGACCCCACCCTCTCTTGCCCTCACCCAGCTTTGGCCTGGTGCTATGTCGGCATGCTGCTGGAGAGGAAGGACACCTTCTTCACCACCCCCATGGGTGTCCACGAATGCGGATACTCAGGGACGGAGCCCCTGGACTGCTTTGGCAAGGTACGTGTAAGTCCTGGGTACACCCACTTCTCAAACTTGGGACTCCCCCAGAGCACTCTGCTTCTCTGGGCCAACCCCGCTGTGTGACCCACCCAGAAAGGACCCTTCTCCAGCCCTCCACCTCCATCCTCTCCTCACCCAAAGGACAAGCGTTCCTTCATGCCTGCTCTGCTCTGCCCAAGGTCAACACCGCCCCCACCTGAAATGACCCACACCCGTCCCTCCAGCCTTGAAGTGGGCCCTGAAACAGTTCTTCCCACCGCTGTGTTTCTTTTCCCTTCCAGGGGTTTAATAGAGGGGACAGATTTACTGGGGTCTCCTTACTGGGTCTGTCCTCAGGTTCTGAGACAAGTCAGAGAACCACCAGTAACAATCAGCCATCAATACCAACATTGGCAGGAAGACTCTGGCCCAGCTAGAAGCCCCATAAGTATGAGGAGGTTGAGGATGACTCTGGCCTATGTCTTATCAGCCACATAACAGGAGAGGAAAGGCTTAAGAATGTGCCAGTGAGCTGGACTCCAGGGAATTTGGGGCTGGTAGGTTTGCCCCAAAGTGGTTACTGTATGACTAAGCCATGAGGATGCTGGCCATGGGTAGGTAGGATCTGTGAGTGTGGTGACTCAGCTTCAGGCTTTCATTCCCCCACTTCCTCCCTTCATAGGCCATTGAGATCGCCAAGGACCAACCTCCCATCCTGAATCGCCTGGCCAAAATCTTCCACTTCCTAGGAAAGCAGGATATGGCCGTAGGAACCTGCAACATGGCCCTGGATGTGCTTAGAGACCCACAGCTCAACTGGCAGGCATACAGCACCAGGGCCAAGGTGAGACAGCCCCGCCTCATTCTGCCATCAGGTATAAGAGGACAAAGGGCAAGGGCAAAGATCCTGGGGCCAGTGCCCTGGAATCTTCATGGCAGAGAGCTTAGGAATCATCTAGACACCCGAAATGCCTGCCTTTTGAGCCAAGAGTTAAACTTGGTGCTGTGTGTAAACATAGAAGCAAACATATCCCATGAGTCTGTTCGTGACTGACTGATCGCTATATTAGGTCCATCTTTAGAGACTTCACTGTCTGTCGGGAGACTGGGCTGCACCATATCCTCAGGGCTCCCAGTCACATGCTGAGGTGAGAGTTGCCTCCCTCGGTTCTCCTTGCTGGACCCAGCTCTACCTCTGACCCCCTCAGAACACAGCTGCTTGAGGCCACACCTACAGCTCTGAACTCATTTTTCTTCAAGTTAATAAGTCCCCCCCCACACACACACACACACCCCTCATCGGCTCTACTACCTTTTCATTGTGCTTCCAATCCGGTCTCCAGGGCTGCAGGAAGTAAACAGAAAACTTCTGTCCTGTAGTTGATGCAGTTGCTACTGATAATAAGGCTACTCACTGTAAAGCCAGAAGGTGGCGCTACAAAATTCTTCCAAGCTGTGCTCTGTTTGATCGCCCTGAGAATCCCGGAGAAGTGGGGCATATGCCAGCCTACGGATGGGGCATGGCACAGAGTGGCAGCCAGCTTCCTCGGGGTCCTGCCATTTGCTAGAATGACAGCCGTAGCTCCTCCATATGCTCCCAGTGGCTCCAGAGGTCACACTCACTACTCAGATGACCAGAACAAGAAGGAACATGGACGGAAGGGAATGCACAGGGCAAGGACGGAAGCCAAGACCTGGCTATGATAGCTTTGTCCAACTCCTGTCCTGACGCCTTTCTTCCATCCTGTTGGCCTGGGTCTCCACCTAGAATGCCCACTTGGTAGATATCCGGCTGACTTCCTCCCTTCCTGCAGGCCTGACAAAGCTTCAGCTTTTTTCTAATGGCCTCTCATTGAAAATATCAAACTACTTGCCAGTATTTTCTGTCCTTCCCTGCTTTACTTTTTCTTCTTTTGTTGTTTGTTTGTTTGTTTATTTGAGACAGGGCTTCTCTGGCTGTCCTGGAACTCACTCTGGAGACTAGTCTGGCCTCGAACTCAGAGATCCTCCTGCCTCTGCCTTCCAAGTACTGGCATCAAAGGCATGCACCCCCACCGCCCGGCTACTTTTCCTTTTTAACACCCAAGACACTGTTTACTCTTTGTCCTGTTGATTGCTTCTCCTTACTGACATAGAAGCTCACACTTTGTCATTTTGCTTTCCACTGTGTCCTCAGTACCTGACACACAGTTAGTTTTGGGAATTGCCTACTTTTCAATCTAGAAAATGGAGTTCAGATGTTATAACACTTCCTCCAGGTTAAATATGGCAGATTGTGGGGGCAGTCAATACATGTTTGCTGGAAGAATAGATGGATGGAGGGATGGATGGATGAATGAATGTTCTTACTTCATCCTGCTCCTCATTGTGTAAGCAGGGAGGCAGGCCCAGAATGTGGAGTGGTTACCCTAGCTGGCACAGAACTAAGACCCAGGGCTCCTGGGTTCCAGTCTGGGGTGGCAGGCTTTCTGCAGTCACACAGGATGCCCCTGGTTGCTGCCAAGAAGCAACCTGGCTTTTTCATGAGATCAGAAAGGAGGCAGATGTATTGTGCAGAGGGTTTCCCCTGAGTTGCCCCTCTACTGCAGGTTCGAATCAGAGCCTATGTCCACGACCTGGAACGGGCCAAAGTGGGGCTCGGGGGCATGCCAGACAGGAACCACCTGGCCTGTGCCAAAGCTGACCTTGAGGAAGTGATCAAGGTGCACCCAGGCCTCAGGACCTACCTAGACATCGGCCAGGTAAGAGACAAGGGCTGCCTGGACCCTGAGGACAGAGAGGAAAACGTGGTGTGGGCCCTGCTCTCTCCTCCTCCAACTGTCCCGTGGATTGGATGCAATAATGTGTGTAGATGTTTAGAAGCCTCCCTCGTCCCACCCTCTACCCCTCAGCAGTCAGTACAGGCCATGATGTGCTCAGGGAAGGGCTATCAAAGGTGACCACATCATAATTGTATGGGGGCGGGGCTTAAGGCTAGGTGTGGAGGAGCTGGGACTAGAACCCTGGTACAGGGTTTTCCAGGGGGCTGGAGAAATGGTGGGAACTGATTAGGGGGGCTAGGGTGTGAAGGAGGAAGGCTAAGAGGCCACCCCTACCCAGGTTTACTACTACATGGGCGTGGATGCCATGAGGGAGCTGCTGGCTGTGGATGAAGCCGCGCTCAACCAGGCGCTGGTCTTCCTGGCGAAGGCTGGCGAGTTGGAGCTAGGAGCCACGCTACCGGAGCTGCAGTTGCTGCGCGGCAAATGCTTGCGAGTCCAAGGCGAGGATGCCAACGCTGCGGCCTGCTTCAAGCGTGCAGTGGAACTGGATGACACGGGATCCAGCCACACCGAGAGCTTCGGCTGCCTGCTCGAGGCGCTACTGGCTCAGTGGAGCCAGGCACAGCTGAGCGACGGCGAGGTGAGCTGCGAGGTGGACATCTGGTTGTGCCACGCCAGGAGCAAGTACCCAGCGGCACGCCTGCGCCAGGAGCTGCAGCGTGTGTGGCGCGGCCACACAGATGAGGTCCTGGGCCTGGCTGGTGCCTTGGTAGCCCAGGGACGGCCGGCACTAGTGCGGCTGCTCTTTGAGACCATGGAACACGAGGGTGAGGACGCTGGAGGACCGTGCAAAAATCGAGCATCCTCCTCCTGAATCAGGTGCTGATGCCCTGATGAGGTCGGATCCCAAAGAGGCCCCACGTGGATGACTGAGTTTAGTCATGGCACTCAAGACAGGCCACCTGGAAGGGTGAGCAGAGCCAAATGTTTTCTGTGTTGGGTTATAGTTTAGTCGAAGGCTTGCCTAGCAAGCATTGAGGCCCTGGGTTCGTTTCCTACACCTGAGGGGTGGGGGGGAATCAAAGCAGATTTCCCCCCCCCATAGAAATTGTGAATGGGTATTTTGAAACATTTTATAAATTTGAAATACCCATAGGGCAGGAAAGGGACGCTTGCAGGAAATTCTGCAGAACAAGGAGTCTGGGAGCAGGCACGAGAGGCCAATGGAAAACTGCTGCTTGAAGAAAAGAATTTTACAAACATGCAGGGAAAATAGGATAGTTCAACTCTGACAGAAAAGATAGCTGTCTCCAATGTGACGTTCTATCCCAGATGTCTGAGTGACTGTCATTGGAGTCCCAAGGGCCACACTGAAAGTTTAGCTGAGTAGTCTCAAGTTCTCAGCCAGAAAAGTCTAGCTAAAACAGACCAAGGTAGCACTGTGAGTGGGTACCGGCAGGGTTCTGACTTAAGCCCAGGTTTTCAGAACCAGTTCCTATCTCGCCATCAGCATCCAGCAAGCCTTTGCTTTGGTCAGCCTTCCTGGAAGGCATCCCGAAGTCCCTGAAATAAAACTCATCAGAAACACCCTCACTCACCTTCCCTGTCCTCTCTGTACCCCTGCTCCTGTCCTGTTTAGTTTTTTGTTGTTTGTTGTTTTATGATAACCTCGAGGACTTTTCTGAAAACCTCACTGGCACCTTGTATGGGCAGTCAGCAAACACCCATTCTAATTTCCCTCTGGGTTCTCTGCACACCAACCAAACGTCACATAGGTCAAGAACCCCATTGCCTGGGCTGCCCACTATGTGCTACACATACAAGTGGCATTACCTCCTCACTTCATGGATGACACAGACACAGACAAGGTCCCAGACAGATGAAGAGTCATCACAGAGGCAGATCACCCTACTCCCTGTCACCTCCAGGCTGGAGGCTGTGGCATCTTTGGTCAGAGTTGGGCTTTCCTGGTGCTCTTTGGGCCTGTTCTTCCTCCCCATCTCTGCTCCTGACTCTAGGACCTCTGTGCCCTTCCATATCTTGTTTCCTCTCTGGCTTTCCCCAGCCATTACTGTCCTATCAAGTGCTCAGCTCAGAGGCGATCCCCCCCCGGAAGTTCTTTGCCTCCTCTCACCTCTCATGAACCCCACCTTTCTCAACATGAAGGGTTTATTGGAACCGTATCCCGCCATATGACATTCATGGATGTTGTGACCAGGACTGTAGCCCAGGGACTCTTGAGGTCTAGAGTTCAGCCAGAGCCGTGGCCATTGTACCTCCTGCTCAGATTGATGCCAACTCCCCAATTCCATGAGTGGGAAATTGAAGCCCAGAGACTGGTCCAAGGTCAAGCTCAAAACTGCCACCCCTTTCATAGTCCTTTCAGGGATGCCGTTTACTTCTGTCAAGTCCATGGGAACCTCAGTTCTTCCATTTCCTGTCTCATCAAATACATGGCAAGCACAGGCCAAACCCCAGAACAGCTTTGGGGCCAGAACCAACCTTGTCTTTGCCTTGCCTTCAGAGAGGTAGCAGTCTGGACCATGCGCAGCAATTAGGAAAACACCTTATAAACCACCACCCTCAGGACTAAAGGAGAGTTACAAAGCTACTAGAGACCTATGGAAGTTTTTGAAAGGCACCCCGCCCCCAGCTGTCCTCAGCTAGCCTGAATGGCCCTTCTGTAGCGTAGTGAAGAATGTGCTGTCCCAGGACCTGAATCTTGGCTGTTCCTCTTCAACAAGCCATTGTCAGGTCAGACCTGAAAGTTCCTTGCTCTGCCCCCTGAGTGTCTGGGAGGACAACTGTCACACAGATGAAGCCACAGGAGCCTCAGTCCTTGCACTGCCTGCCTTCTCTTCTCCTGGATCTCACAGCTGCTAGGCAGCTGGGAACATCTGTTTAAGAGGTATGAGCGAGGGATGTGAAAGACTATAAAAATGAACAGGATTCCTCGGTTACAGCTTCCAAAGACCCTTAGTTCTCACCTGCTCCTGCCTCCCACCCAGCAGACAGGCAGATTGCTACATCACAAAGGAATTAATTGATAGTCAGGTATAATGGCTCACACCTGTAATCCCAGCACTCCTTGGGCTTGGGATCAAGACCAGCCTGGGCTACACAGTGAGTTCCAGATCTGCAGAGTGAAAGCCTGTCTGGAAAGCTAAACAAATAAAAGAAGACATTTTATTTATTTATTTATTTATTTATTTATTTATTTATTTAATATGTATACAATATCCTGTCTGTGTGTGTGTCTGCAGGCCAGAAGAGGGCACCAAACCTCATTACAGATGGTTGTGAGCCACCATGTGGTTGCTGGGAATTGAACTCAGGACCTTTGGAAGAGAAGGCAATGCTCTTAACCACTGAGCCATCTCTCCAGCCCCTAAAAGAAGACATTTTTAAAAGGAAAGGAAAAGATAAAGATGACAAGAAAGCCACAGAAAAACAAATCAGTTCGTTTTCAACAGGTCTGTCCTTTTATAGAGTTGATACCTTTTCTAAAACTTTTTCCCCCAATTCAAGTTCATTTCCTGGGGCCATAGAGCATAGACCCTAATAAGTGAAGTGACCTTGAATAGACTCTTTCCTCTGCTCAGCATCCTCTTCCTAGCATGGTGCTGTTGTGCAGTGTTGCCAGCCAGGCTGTGCTATGCTCTGACCTGGGCGCTCACAGCGAAGGTGCGTAGGTGTGAGCGGCTAAAAGCTGCTTAGTGCAGGGTTTCTCTCTCTCCCTAAACAGCCCCCTCTCCAAGGGAGCACCCTGCACGGATGATGGTGGCTTGATGCCAAATGAAGTGAAATGTCTCCTTCTCGGGCTGTTGACTTTTTTCTTGTTTAGGGAAGGGGAGGATAATGAAATTTAGTACTTTACAGGCTAACAGTAAAATGAGCAGATGGAAATAGATTCCAGCACTGCAGACTGAAGCTCCGCAGCCAGAGCCCCGCCCCCCCCCCCGTGCCCTCCCTAGTCCCTGCCCCACCGTTCTTGGGGCCAGAGTCACTGGCACCCTCCTTTCTCAGCTTTGCCACATCCAGCTGCTCACATCAGGTTTCACACCTGTTCTAAATCTACCCTCAACCCTACCCCCACCCCCTGACAACTACCCTCACCCCCTGACAGCTACCCCCACCCCCTGACAGCTACCCCCACTAACACCCCCAGCTACCACACCTCCCTGCCTCTGGGGGCGGGTGAGGGGTGCGTGCTGTGTTTAGAGAGTGCTGCGTGTCACTTTCCTTGCAGAAAGTCTGGTTTAGGGAGCATTCACAGACTATCCACAAAGATTAAGATGGATACTGCTGGGCCCCCGACCCAAGACCCCTTCTCAGGCTCATTTTATTTTAATGCTGGGTCCCCAGCCTGTGGTGCTGTTTTGAGGCAACCTTTAGGTGGGAGATAGGGCCTGGAGTCCTTTGAGAGTTATTCCCGTTTGGTCGGTGTCTGCCTATCTGCCAAAGGAAGATGCTGACACCGTGTGCTCTCACAGACTGAGCCACCCCGTTTTGCCTTCCCTGAAGAACTAAACTTTGAAAACAAAACAAAACAAACAAAAAACTGTAGGGCTGGAGAGATGACTCAGTGGTTAAGAGCACTGCCTGCTCTTCCAAAGGTCCTGAGTTCAATTCCCAGCAACCACATAGTGGCCCAAAACCATCTGTAATAAGATCTGGTGCCCTCTTCTGACATGCAGGCATACATGCAGACAGAACACTGTATACGTAATAAATAAATTAAAAAAAAAAAAACCTGTGAACCAAAAGAATAAGGTGGCAGTGGGTGATAGGAGGGGATGTTTGCAGGGCACCTTGCAATACTCAAGCTGGCTTCGCAGGATTTACTAACGTATGCCCTGTTTAAATTGTCTCTGACAGGCATTTGGTCACAGAAATGAGAAAAATAGCAAATATACTTCCCCAAAAATCAAATTCCAGCACTTTAACATTGGACTTCCTAGCTCCTTGAATGCAAGGCACACATCTCTGACTTTTTTTTTCTTTAGAAATTTCCCAGCTGGAGAGACGACTAGCAGCTAAGGTTACTTGCTGATCTTTCATCGGGCAACTTAGAACTGCCTCTAACTCCACATCCAAGGGGATCTGATGCCTTTGACCTCTATGGTCAAAGACCTTCGCACAGACACATGCGCATAGTCAAAAATAAAATACACTTTAAAAAATAAATTTTAAGAGCCGGACAGTGTGGTGGCGCACACCTTTAATCCCAGCACTTGGGAGGCAGAGGCAGGCAGATATCTGAGTTCGAGGCAATCCTGGTCTACAGAGTGAGTTCCAGGACAGCCAGGGATACACAGAAAAACTCTGTCTTTAGAAAGAAAAGAAAAAAAAAATCTTTAGAAAGTACAATTAGAAATTACTCAGTCTCGAGTATCTTGTGATACTAGCACATATGGACTTAGCCAGAGAGCACAGATATTTGGTCAAACACTATTCTGGACATTTCTGTGAGATTGTTTTTGGATGAGAATAGTATTTATCCCTGAGAGCTCTGAGTAACGTGGATCGCTGTCCCTAATGTGTGTAGCCTTGTTCACTCAGTAACAAGGACTAACTTCCCTTCAGCAAGAAGACCCTTTTGGGGCGAGAGACATGGCTCAGAGCTAAAGAGCACTAATTGCTGTTCCAGAGGTCCTGAGTTCAATTCCCAGCTACCGCATAGTGGTTCACAACCATCTATAATGAGATCTGGTGCCTTCTTCTGGGCACCATAATAATTAAATAAATCTTTTTTTTTTTAAAGCCTTTGGACTACAACTACAACAGCAGCTATTCAAGCTGGCCCAATCCACAGATTTTTGAGCTTACAGGCTTGTATAATCATTGGACCCAACAGTACTCATTGCACGCGCGTGCGTGCGTGCGCACACATACACACACACACACACACACACACGCATACATACATACACGCCCTATAATTTCTGTCTCTCTGGAGAACCCTCATGCGGATGCCTATCCAAAGCTCTCTCTTCTCAGGAAGGACCCACTCTCTCAGTCCTCCCACAGTGCTGTCCTTACACCCCTCTATACATCACAATCTATCTTACTAAATTTCCTAAGTGCAAATAGGAAGGAAGGGGTACTGCGGTATTTATTGCATGCCAGGTGTGTGCGACACTGTAGCACTCGCCTCGTGTTCATTCATTCTTTTATTCACCAATTAATTCAGCAAAGTTTTATCAAGCATTTATAATGTGCCAGGCAATGATCTAGTCCAGGGGGTGGGTAAACTATGGGTGAATTTGGTCTGCCACCAGGTTTTTTGTTTTTTGTTTTTTAAAATAAGGTTTTATTGAAACACAGCCATGTTTATTTGTTTACATTCTCCTCTGGTTACTTTTCCTAGATAACGACTTAATTGAGTAGCTATGAAAAAGACCATATGGCCTGCAAAGCCTGAAGTACCTAGTGTACTGTTTAACTCTTGAAGAAGAAAGTTTGGTGCCCCCGGGATAGGCATTAGTGTATCACTGCATTCTAAGGTGACAGAGGTAGGGGAAGGGATGGAATACAAGTGAGCCCCACACTGGAAAAGCCTTTACTGTGTTAAATAGTGATGAGTATTAGAA